AGCCCCGAAACCACGTTCGTCAAAAACCCTGCAACGAAGATTCAGGCTGGAAAGCGGGCCTCAAAAGAACAGCTACACTCCCGGAAACTAACATGGAAACCCCAAAAGGGCCCTGTAAAGACTACAGTCCTTCTGAAAGGGGACTATATGGGTTTCCATGTTAGTTTGGGGAGTGTAGAAGATTTTTGGAAAATATTGTAGGCCTCATAATTGAGAAATCGAGGGTACCCTCGTCTGAGCGTAACTGTTTCTCAAGCAGCGCTGTCACTCTCTATAACCCTTACCTAAACCCTAAACCCCTGAATAGTACTTTCCATTTTCGTTCCCAATATCCCTACATAGCCCCTATATAATCCTATAGTACCCTTACATAACCCCTATATAGACCCCTTAAGATATACATAACCCCTTTCGGTATCAAGCATCTCATGGGAAGTGGAGCTAGCCTGCATCTGAGACACTCCAATGGCACCACTGAGAAGAGGGCCCACACCGAAGCCCAAGGCATTCGCAGCAAAGATGCTGACTATGATTTCCTTTGGCATGACACGAGGGTTATTCTCAAAATTATGGGCCCCTTTTGGTCATAGATTAACTATATTGGGGCACCTGATATCTAGGGGTACCGACCCCCCAAAATGGGACCCTAATTTTGGGAACTACACATGTGAGACTGACCCCGGGAGCCTTCTTGTACACCCAGGGAAGGCGCACCTACCTTCTTCCGTGCACAAACTTCACTGACTGCTCAGCAAAGAAGCCCCGAGCTCTGCTTGTGGGCAAACCTTCACCACCATCCTGAAAATCTGGGTGGTTGTCAAAATTATGGTCCCTTTTTGGGTCCCTATTCTAGTACGGCACCTAATATTTAGGGTACCCAAAAAGGCACCATAATTTTGACAACCACCCATCCGGCAGGGCAAGTTGCAGCTTTACAAGCTCGCGATGCCACTTCTAAATAAGCTATAGACTAAACTCCTAGCGTCCTCCCCCTCAGTAACCCCTGTAATAATCTCCTATATCCCCTAGTTAACCCCCTAAACCCCCTTTAAGGAGTTTCGAGTATAGCCCGAATGACTTCATGTCACATCCGTAAAGCAGACGTCTGCCACTAGCAGCTGGCCCTCCTAGCACCTAAGCCTTTCCAGAAATGGGGGTCCCCAATATAGACCCCAAAATACAATGATCCGTACTAGTGGGACCCTCCAAAAAAGGATAACCGCAATTTTGGGAAACTTCGAGGTGCATCTGAACGACGTCGCCGACGCTGTCGACAAGGCCGTAGCTCATGCGCAAGGCCAGTAGCAGACCAACCCGCAGAGTGGCCTCAGGGTTTAGGGTTTTAGGGTTTCAGGTTTAGGATTTACTTGCAGAAGTGGCCAATATCCAGTCCCAAGTACGATTACCATATCTTGTATCTATTCTTCTGTTGCTTTTAGAAGTAATGAATAACAGCATGTTTGTTTTGCAGTTTTTGTCAACCTATGGTACTTCCGTGATGCAGAGTGCACACCAGCAATGGGGAATACTGGACAAATCAGGCATACATCATCGGCGGTGCTCTCTCTTCCCCAATGACCAGGCCCAAAAAAATTCAAACATCACTATAGAGCCCAAATAAGGAAGCCCAAAAAGTTTAAAGTTCTTCTATTGGCTATCACTTTTTTCCAGGGTGCAGAGAGGCTCAGAAAGGTTGGAGGATGGACAGCTGCCGCAGACAGCGCAGTGCTGAGAGCATAGATGCCGTAGGCAACCTTCCCGCAGCTTTCGGATGATGAGCGTTTGAAGTTGCCAGCCAGCTCTTTGCTATTCTTGCAACGAAATCTATATACCCTGTTATAGTATAGCAGTTTCCATTTTAGTTACCATTATCCCCAGATAACCCCAATACATACCCTATTATAAACAGTAGTTTCCATTTTATTTTCCATTCTCCCCATATAACTCCAATACAGATAATATACTAGTTTCCATGTCATTGTCCATTATCTGTGCACTCTCAGATGTTTTTGCCAAGTGGCCAAGGCGTACCGACAGACTTTCATCTGGTTCCATGAAATCATGACGCATCTAGCGCGCAGGGCTCCTGAAGCAAAGGGTTCATATCATAATAAGGCATATATTGGGGTTGTATGGGGATAATGGAGAATAAGATGGAAACTACTATCTTACAATAGGGTATACATTGGGGTTAATATGGGGATAACGGAAAATAAAATGGAAACTGACTACTATATTATAACATGGTATATTCTGGGTTTATATAGGGATAATGGAAAATGAATTGGAAACTACCATCTTATAATAGGGTATATATTGGGGTTGTATGGGGGGTAATGGAAAGTAAAATGGAAACTACTGTCTCATAATAGGGTAGTCTGTCTTGGGCGATGTATTGGGATGGTTCCCGGTCTTTGCAGGTTTCTTACAGCATGCGCACGCCTTCGCTTGCTAAGCCATTCTGCATCAGAGCAACGCTAATACAGGGTAGAAAAGGCCATGATGGGACAAGCCCATGCTAACACAGGAGACCCTATTATGAGACAGTAGTTTCCATTTTATTTTCCATTACCCCCATACAACCCCAATATATACCCTGTTATAAGATGGTAGTTTCCAATTCATTTTCCATTACCCCTATATAAACCCAGAATATACCATGCTATAATATAGTAGTCAGTTTCCATTTTATTTTCCATTATCCCTATATACAACTTTAGCATTTTCACGTTATGAGTGCTTGGCCAAGCATCCCAGGAGGTAGACAGCAAAAGGGGCTGACACCATCAGGCCAGAGAAGGCGCTTCCCTGTCCAAAATGGGTCGCCAAGTCGTAGGATAAAGGCACCACGACTGTGTACCTTGGGGGGTCATCACGACACGACTTCACATTCTGGCATCGTGGAACCAACAGCTATCACACTTTGGGCACTGGACTCTCGAAGCAAACATTTGTCACCAAACGACCTTCTCCTCTGTGGGTTCATGCCATGTTTTCATGAGAATGTTTACTGACCCCCATTACGGACCGACCCACCCCTGAGGGACACAATATTCCCATGATTTGGGTTATTCCCCCTTACAGTAACTGTTACCACAAGGGGTGATAGGAATTATAATAGCCCCTTAATAAGGCCCCTTTAAGGACAGTTACTGGGTGGGGGAATGACCCAACCCATCATGCGGATGAAGGGCGTTGCAGATGTTAAGCACTCCGCGATCAAGAGCAAAGCTACCAGGGTCCGATAAAGCTGGCCCCGTGTGAGCCACTCCAAGCAGACTCCTTGGCAGCCCATGAAAGGGGCTATATCTACGGACATTAGGAGGGACCCCTAATAGGGACCCCTAATCCCATTACCATATATAACCCTTATATAGTCATTATAGAACCCCTATATGTCTAGGTAGTCCCCATATTAATCCACATAAGCTACAAGGGTCCCTATTAGGGGTCCATCCAAAAGTCCTTAGAGGAAAGGGGCTATAACTCCAGTAGGCTTTACGTAATCCGTGCTCTTGATTAATAAGGGCGCCCCGGAACCCCCGCCCTATATTAATAGAAAAGCCTCATTATTTCAGGGGCCCCAAATGCCAAGAGGAGATTTCAATTGTAAGTAACGTCCATGGAACCAAGTTCTAGAGCATAAGACTTAGTTGGACCCATCTTTTTTAATGTTTGGGGAAAATCTTCTTCAAATCCAGATGGTTTTCGGCCCAAAAAGTGCCTCTGCCTTTAACGTAGTCTTTGACCCCCTCCTATTTCGGCCCCAAGAATTTTCTTCAAATCTAAGGGGTTTTATTAATTGAGAGCACGGATTAGGGATTTCAAAAGGGTTATATTAGGAATAATGGAAAGAAAGTAGAAACTATACTATCTCAAAGCAGGGCGCGTGCGTGTATATGTATATATATATATATGTACACGGGGCTGTTTTATAGAGCAAATAGTAGGTAAGGAAAAGGCAATGGATGTTACTAGTTATCAAGGATTATATACAGACTGTTATTGCGACAGCCGACAACCCGCCGTTGAAGCATACAAACACGATGGGCATGACTTGGGTGTGCTCATTCTTGGGCACGAACAGAGCCTACATATGTCGTTCAGACAAGCCTCCTGCAAATGAAGTCACAATGAAAAGAGCGAGGGCGTAGGCACATATCCTGCAATTGTCGGATTCGGTTGTTCGGGCAAGCAAGGTGTGCAGGCGTGGTATATGAAGTCGTGTGTTTAACGGTGCGGGTCCTGCCACCGAAGGAGCTGAAGCCCTTGGCCTCACCAGCTGTCGGGCTTGTCCACGCAGCATCCGAGAGTTCCACAGCAAGGCTCCTGGCCAAGGAATTGCAGAAAATGGGGATAACATAGGGATAGATAGGGGTTATATAGGGCAATATAGGGGTTATATAGGGATAACATAGGGATATTATAGGGGTTATATAGGGCAATATGGGGGTTACATAGGGATAACATAGGGATATTATAGGGGTTATATAGGGCAATATAGGGGTTATATAGGGATAACATAGGGATAGTATAGGGTTATATAGGGCAATATAGCGGTTATATGGGGATAACATAGGGATAGTATAGAGGTTATATAGGGCAATATAGCGGTTATATAGGGATAACATAGGGATAGTATAGAGGTTATATAGGGACAATATAGGGGTTATATAGGGATAACATAGGGATAGTATAGAGGGTATATAGGGACAATATAGGGGTTATATAGGGATAACATAGGGATAATATAGAGGTTATATAGGGATAAGATAGGGATAGTATAGGGGCGATACAAAGGACCACTACTGTGAGCCTGCTTCCCATGCTTGTCGCAGCTCAACTGGAAAGAGAGATAAAGAGAGAGATAATGTGGATCACCCTATGTCGCCCACAATGGTAATTGCAATACCTTAGGGATCCTGAGTGGTGCAAGGAGTAGCAACTGCGTGCAACATGCTTGTGGGAGAGCATGGTTCAATGCCCCAGAAAAGACCTCTGCTTGCCGCGGACCTTCCTGCACACCCCTGAGAAGAGAAGGAGCCATGTATGTAAGAGTTGCGTTAGGTTTTGTCAGAGCCGCGTAGCAGCAAAGATCATAGTCGAAGTTGATTCCACTGAACTGTTTACAATGGATTGTCTTCCATGTTCCTTTCTGTTATCCCTATATATCCCCAATATACACCCGATTATCATAGATTACACCTATATTTTACCCTTATATTCTTTATGGCTGTGTCATGGTTAACTCCGCTTGGCCTCCTGGTTGCCCGGCCCTGCAGCAAGCGCAGAGCCTCGTCACATCCAGCCTCCAGATCCTTGCCAGCTTGCCGTGGCCAGATGGTACCCCTATACTATCCCTGTATAACCTCTATACTATCCGTATGTTATCCCTATATAACCCCTATATTGCACTATATAACCCCTATACTATCCCTATGCCATCCGTAACAGCAATAATAATCGCATGTATTAGTTATCATTGCAGTTTAACAGCAACAAGATAAGGAGTAACAGTAAATGACACCCGCGGACCCTTAAGGAGCGGTCCTCCTCTGCGCAATTCTGTGCGATTCCTCCGTGGAGTGCCAACGGCAACAACAGGATCGAGCGCCATCGCACCATTGCCAAGATCGCGTAGTTACAGCCGCTGGCACACTAGCCAAGAATGCTACTCATCCTGCTGTGATGCTGCATTCAAGGGCCCCAAGGGCTTGCACTTCACAAGCACAAATCGAGGAAGCTGGTGTAACTTGTTGATTTGGCTCGGGTGGGTATGGAAAGGTGCCAAGCAATTGTTGGACGGCATTACCGCATCGTCAGCAAGTTCCAGGTGCTTCGTTCGCCCTTAGGGCACTTTCTTTGAGCCTTGATGTTGCAGGGCCAGGAGATGAGTGTCAGGTGCAATGTGCGAGACCCCAAATACACTGTATTACACTATTAATCTTCAAAGTGTCTTGGCGGTTAGCTGCACACCTGGCACCTTGCAGAAAACTGCTCGGGCCTTCCTAGAATTTTTTGTACTTGTAGAGCAGTGTGTGGCAGCACTGCAATGCTGCTGGCTCAAATAAAGCAAAACTGTCCATCCAATTCCTCAGCACCAAGCATCTTGGTATCATGTGTTGGAAATAGAACCCAAATATATACCCTACATGACTATAGTAGTTTCCATGTTCTCTTCCATTCTTTCTGTATAACCCTAAGCCCTAAACCCCTGAAACCCTAAACCCTTATATAACCCCAATATCTTGGTCCTATCCCAGCTCCAGACTTTGCCCCAGGATCCGCCAGGAAGGTATCCGCAAGAGCCTCAGAGGAAGTCTTTTTGGGACTACTTGGGTATATATTGGGGTTATATAGGGATAATGGAAAAGAAAATGGAAACTACTATAATATATAGGGTTCTATAGGACTATAGGGGTTATATAGATTAATTTGCTGCCGCAATCAGGATATTGGAGGGAAGATGCCGTTGCCAAACCTCTTCTGGGGACAACATCTGAAGAATGGTTTTACATCCTTAAGAGAAATCGATTGCAACGCTTGAAGTTCCAAGCAGCAGGAGGGAATGCGAGTATACTGATTGCACAAAGAGCCAAATGCCCCAAACTCCTGAAGCATGGGCTCCATCCAGCTTGCCCGCATTGACGAGATCTTGCAGGTGCTCCGCGTGCTCCTTGCGTTCACATCGCAGGTCAAGCTTGCACTTCAGCTGGAAGTCCTCTTGATCTGCTATGTACCAAATTTCATGGCGACAACATCTGAGCAGGCTTCAAATTCGCAGTTGTACCTCACGTGGCTGGCGTGACTGATGTTACGGCCGGCAGCAAAAGCTACCGCGCAGCCTGTTGGTTCTCAGGTCAGACTGTGTGCCGGAAGATGATTTGAAAGAAAGCCTGCAATTTGCATAGGATGCCCAGCAAGTGTTGTGTTTTGTCTAGTCCGGTGTTTTACGTGATCTAAAACCATGCTCGAGATTTTTCTGAGCTAAGAATCACCCGCTAGCACTGACAAGTGCGGTCCTTGAACAGCTGGCACTCCAGCTCGCCTGCTGGCAAAAGTCTGCTGAGAATCCAATCCCATTGCCCTGCAATAGGCTTCTGACTCTCTGACTCAAGGTGGGCGTGCCGTGACTGCAGGGACTGCTCTGCACAAGCTGTACTGTACATATTGCACTTTACAAAGAGGCCACAGTACTTCTCTTATTTATGTTTGCTATCTTTAACTACTAGTGTTGATGTGTGCTGGCAATCTTTTGTATGCCTGGCTGGCACGCGCAAAGTCTCAGAGCTGCACGATGGGAAAGCCAGATGAAACGATCGTTGTCTTGAGCGAGCCCATGTCACATAACAGTGCTGCACTGGCACTATATAGGGGTCATATAGGGATAATGAAAATAAAATGGAATCTACTACATAGTATGTTGCTGATATATTGGGATAATGGAAAAGAAAATGGAAACTATATTATATCCCTATCCAGCCCAGTGTTCATTTCATCCTCCAAGTTCTTTTTCGTTTGCCTCTCCATTGTTGGGAATAATACCCCTCAACCCTAAACCCTAAAGTTTCCCATGTTCTTCACATTCCCCATAACCCCTATACAGTCCCTAAATAAACCCTATTATAATATGGTAGTTTCCAGATTCTTTTAAATCATTCCTATGTGTACCATGGTTTAAGCTCCTAGAATACCCCTTAATAGCCCTTATAGTAGTCCCCTATATAATCCCTATATAACCCCCTTTAAGGAGTTTAGACCAAAAAACCCTAAACCCTGAACCCTCTATATATCCTTACATAATCACCTATATATTCCCTTATTCAACCCCCTTTTATAAGTTAAGGAGTTTTAGATTTTGGCTCAGAGCCCATCTCCAAATCAGCAGCTAGAAGGCTTGACCGGACCTTGCGCATCACACAATGTTTATTAAGGTTTAGGGTTTTTGGGTTTTGGGTGTAGGAATAAGGGTTTAGGGTTTTAGGGTTTTAGGTGTAGGAATAAGGGGTTTAGGGTTTTGGGTGTAGGAATACTGTAACGGTTTAGAGTTTATCCTAGAAAATGGGTTGCTGTTGAGGAGCTTAAACTAAGTTACCATTGTATGGGTATAGAAAATGAGGGGTTTCCTTATGGTGACTTAATCTAAGTTCCTTGACAGCAAGCCAGTCAAGCGCGCATTGCAACACACCAACAGTTTGCATACCATCCAGATCATAAGCCGTATACTTCAACGCAGCTACACTTCTGCACTGCTGAGGTATCCTAACGACCGTGACTTGTCCTGTCCAAAACTGGACAATTGCAATCATATTTCTTATAGGCACGATTTTCCCATACCCATAGCCATTTGGGCAGAAATGGCTATTTATGCATAAGTTCGATCGTAGAACTAGGCTGCGCGCATAGCCCCTGATGTATGAGCAAGGTTGTCTGCTTCATCAACCTAAACCCTTAACCCTGAACAGAAAAATCATTTGCTTCTTCATTATGCCTATATATAGCCCTAATATAATCCCTTCTATAACATAGTAGTTTAGCACTAAAGGTCCCCTGTGACACCTTGAGCTTTATCTGGACTCCCTCCCGCCCTAAACCCTAAACCCTAAACCCTAAATCCTAAACCCTAAACCCTAAACCTAAACCTTAAACCCTAATCCCTGAACCAAGGCAGCTGCCAACAAAGCACCCGTGCCCGCCCTGGCTCCACTTCTCTTTCCAGACGCATGCCAACTCATCCTCAGGCTCTTAGGTTGGTGTGTTTAGGGTTCAGGATTTAGGGTTTAGGGTTTGGGGTTTAGGGTTTAAGGTTTAGGATTTAGGGCTTAGGGTTTGGGATTTAGGGTTTAGGATTTAGGGCTCAGGATTTATGGTGTAGGGACTCCCAGGAATATTGGGGTTATATTGCGGATAGTGGAAAAGAAAATGGACACGACTGTTTTGGGCTTTGTATTGGGTAGTTCCTTTTCTTGATTCTTGACAACCCTAAACCCGAAACTCTAAACCCTAAACTAGCAACTGCGGACAGGCTGCCGTTGCGTTGGTCTCGGTGTTGTTGAGCTTCAGCTTGCCTTCAAAGAATGGTTCCGAAGTCTTCAGTAGGCTCGCCCCAATACTCTAGCATGCCACCACGTGAAAGCCTATATAACCCCACATAATATAATAGTCTTCATCTTATTTCCATTCCCCCTATATGACCTCAATATCCATTTTCTTTTCCGTTATCCCAATATATAACCTCAATATACTATAGTAGTAGTAACCCTATATCGTTATTGTTAGTACCAACAGTATAGATGAGCTGGGCACGGCTGACAGGCCGACAGGTTCTCGAAATCTTTAAGGGTTATATAGTAGGGATAATATAGGGATAACGGAAAAGAACATGGAAACTACTACATTATTCAGGGGCCAGCAGCGAGGTTTTGCTGAGGCTCGCACTGGCAATACACTTCTCCTGCCAAGCAGATGCCATCTTTCAAGTGGCTGACTGTGTCTTCCCCCGGGTTGGCCCCTAAAACCCTTTGAAAAAAATTAGTATATAGGGTCCCTTATGAAAGCCATTAGGGAAAATGTTAAATATCCCTAAACCCTAAACCCTAAACACAGTCCCGTCACACAAAAGCTGCACCTTGTCCAAGCCGTTGCAACCTCCTTCCTCCAGCGATATCACCGTCTTCTTGCGGAATTCGGCGCAGGCAGCTGGCAAAGCATGAAGTGCTACCAGCGTAGGAATGACTTATACGCCCAAGGTGTCATGTGCACCACTTACATCCATTACCAAAGACGCTGACGACAATCTTTCAGTCGCAGATAGCTCATCTAGACACTTCAAATTAGCAAACACCCTCACAAGACTGCCTCCGAGCTTTCAATCTAGCACGATCTGGCAATTCTGGCGATGCTAAAGCCAGGCACCTTCCTCGCAGCATGCTGCGTCAGTTGCATCGACAATCTCCTCACAGAATCAAACGAGTGCCCAGTTTGTCCAGCTAGCAAACTTCCCAGTAGATTCATGAGGTCAATCACATGAGCTGCAGGCCCAGGCAGTCCAGCTTAAACATCTTAAACCTAAAGGTGTATGCAGAACAGCTAGCCCATGCACAAAAGCTGGCATCAAGGCGCCTGCGGGTTGGGCTTGAGGCTCTTGCCAGCACCGCAGGAGTAGAGGGCGCAAGTTTCTCGGCAGGCCGCAACAAGGATTCAGGAATGCAACGCATGTTTTAAGTTCCAGCATGGAAGTTAAGTCTGATAGGCTCAAGCGCCGCATACTACAACAACTACAACTGCCTGAAAGACCAGTCAAGATTCTCTTGCAGCAAACGTCCGCGGTGTCGCCGGCCGTTTTGTTTACAGCCGGGTTTGGAGCGAAATTGCCTCAGTCCAGCGAGTACGGCGAATTAAGGCCTCTGGTTGCCTGACAACTACATACGATTCCCGCTGGCCCGTCCCGTCCGTGCGCTTGATGCCATGGGTGAAAAGCAAAGAGTCTGAGAGTACCGGACTAGCGCAGCTTTGCAGCCCGAGGGCTTTTTTTTGTGAGGCGGCAACAGTCATGACGTCCTAATAGACTTGCAAGTATGGCATACATGCCGCCCAGCTACCAGTGCACTTGTCCTGGTACTGACTGCATGTCTTCACGCAGCAGGTTTGGTCATCCACACCAACCTCATTTTTCGGAGGTCATCGGCACTGGAACAGGCAGGCGCCGCAGTCCCTAGTCACTTGAGACTGTCTTGTTCATCTGAGATACGAAGTCGTCCGCGCCTGGCTACACAAAATCATTTTTTTAATTACATCACATGAGCTGAAGCACTTGCGGATACGTGCGGGATATCATGCGCCTCGCCATGCAAGCTACCACGCAGCCCTCTTCATGGAAAGCCCTGCGTCAAAATCTCCTCTGGCCATGCCTGGCTTCTTTGTCCAACCATCGTTGCAGGTGTACTTCGAGCAAGTCTTCTGGCAGCAAGCCTGTCCAACACTGTCGCACAAGATGGCAACCAGCCTCTACTTTAGGCCAAGGGTAGGGAGCGAGCGAGATAGAAGGGGAAGAAACAAAACATGGATGGAAAAGCAGGAAACAGAAGAGCGAGAGGGAGATGGATATGGAGGCAGGGAGAGAAAACAAACGATCAAAACAAAGAAAGAGACACCAAAGACTGAAACAAATGATCAGAAGGGCAGGCAGGCAGACGGACGAAAAGCACGTAACCGAAAGCCTAGCACACTCAATCTGCAGGAGGCTGATTTGAAACACCAGATGTGCAACTGCCCGCTGAGTATGGCTTTCCCAGCATGCTCTGCTACCAGGACTCATTCATTCATTCATTCATTCATTCATTCGTTCAGCTGGATACTTTACGAGGCACAAGCACAGAAAATTGAAACACCGTAGAACTCTTGCATAGTATCTTCCACGTCTTCCTTCTCCGTGAAGGTAAAGACATGAAATCTGATGAAATTGCATGCAAAGACCTCGTCCGAGTGCTTGAGAGCGGTCACCTGCAGGGCTCTTCTCAACAAGCCCCCAGCTTCCTGGTGCTTAGTAGGGTAGAAGGGAATATAACCCCAGTAGAATCCCTATACCATAGTTTCTTATTGCCTACTAAACCCCAGTAAGCAGTCTGTCATCAACAAATCTGATGAGGTCGACATGGTCCTGCAAGCCTGTCCTGGGCCTTGCGCATATGAGCTACGTGACTGACCTGCTGTAAAAGCACAGCTAACGAAGAGACCAAAGGGTACACTGTTTCCAGCAGCTCATGTACCGGGACAGCGAGGGTGATAGAGGGAGAAAGAGAGAGATGTGCACATCCCCCTCTTCTGTTCAATTTTTACCTCATTTTACCTCTACACAAAGCCGAATAGCCCTTGCCCTGCGTCAATCCAGAATGTAGCAATTGAAAACGGCATCAAACCAAATGCGCCCTAGTTTGAGCTGAAATGGTAGTGCCCAGCCTTTACGGGATCTGGCTTCCAGCCCGCACTGCATTTGTAGGCGCTGCACAGCCTGCTGCCACAGCATTCGGGGTGGAATGATTGACCGATCCCGCGAGGCTGTGTGAAACTACGGCCGACAGCTGCCTCATGTGTGTTTAAACCGACAGAGACATGCTGCAGGCTGGCAAGCCATGTTGCTGCCGGAATGCGGTTGGCAGCACTCCTCCTTGCTGCCCACCATCTTCTCCTCTTCAAGAACTTTTGGAAAAGCTGCCAATAGTCTGTTGGTTGCATCCAACGCGACAGGATGTCAAGGTGGTTCTGACAGTTTCTATTAGCCACGGTAGGCGTTTTCTGCAGATGTGGCATGATGTGGCACAGTCTCTTAATCTGTGTATGCAACAACAACTTCATACTTTTCGAAACCCTAAACCTTAAACCGGTTAGCTGTATGTCACTTCTTGCCATCCCTGGTTCTGACTGCAGACCGCTGCTAATGACTGCAAGCCCGTCTTTACATACTCTAAACTCCTTTAATTGGGATATATATATATATATTGGAGTATAAGGATTATATAGGGGTTATATAGACATTATAAGGTATATATTAGGGGGATATATAGACGTTTGTTTGGGGTCTTTGAGGCTTCCGCACTTCACCCAGGCTGTTTCAAAGCATGGGATCTAAACCTGCGAGCAAAAAAGCACAAGGAAACCTAGGCCGTGAAGGGTTTAGGGTTGAGGGTGAAAGGGTTTAGGGGTTTAGGGTGAAAGGGTTTAGCGTTAAGTGCAAAAGTCTATAATCCCTATTATGGGGACCCGCAAAACAGTACCCCCACTTTCGGGAAACCCCCATCTAATCAGTAAGTCTTGAGCAAGAACACATACAGGCAATCGACTAAGTCATCCCTATGTCATCCCTTTCATCTTCCCCCCCTTAGAAACGCAACAAAACGAAAGTCATCTCTAAGTCATCCCTTTGCCAACTTCCCCAGTGAACGCAGCCGACAGGGAAGATTCAGATTTCCATATTTCGAGAAGGTCTTGTAGCACTTCCCCAGTGAACGCAGCCGACAGAAATGGTTACGGAATCAGGCTTTTTCATCTAGAAATGGGGCACTTCCCCAAGTGAACGCAGCCAACGCAGCTACCGGTAGCAGCAAAAGGCCAAGTCAACTCTTCCGCAAAGTGCAAAACACCATGGCACGCAGCGGGTAGGGCGAAGGCAAAGAAGGGCACGATCAAAAAGTGGAAATACCATGGCTATGTCTATTTATATTCGAAGGGATTTTTTTGGGGTATGATGGGCCGGTTACCGATACCCTTACCGATACCCTAGCTTTCGATTTGCTAACCAGTGTACATTCCTTGCAACCGCGTAAGATACGTTATCTCATGTCAGAATTCATCGCCATCGCACATCAACACCATAACCAACAAAAACAATCATCAACATCAACATCAGCGCTATCATCGCACATCTGCAGAAATTGCGTTCCACGCATATTCAACATTCTTCTGGAAATGCTCGAAAAACTCCAAAACCTACCAGAGATTTGAAAAGTGGGTCCTAAACATCTCTTACTTGCCATGGCTAGGTGCTTGTAGAAGCAATTCTTAAATCCAAGTGTGCCCCGCAACTCCTGCAAAGAAACGTGTGAATGTT